CAAAGTTTTTGGAATAAGGACTTCTTTGCACTCTTAAAAGTCATTGAGGACCCCAATGAACTCTTGTTTAAGTGGTTATATCTATTGGCATTTATTACATTTCTTAAAACTGGAATTTATAAATATTTATTTAGTCACCCATCCATAAATAACAATAATAAAGTCATTACAAGTAAACACATTTTAATGAGAAGTAGCTATATTTTTCAAAGCAAAATATTTAGTGAGAAGTGGGGGTGTTGTTTTACATTTCTATAAATCTCTACCATGGCTGGTTTAAATAGAAGACAGCTGGATTTTAATATATACTCCTGCATTCAATCTGTTGTGATATGTTGCTTGGTTAAGGACAAATAGGAAGAAAATCAAGCCTCACACAGATCTGTAGGTGGAGGGAAGGAGAAATATTTTAATAGCTTTTTCAGGAACTCCTCTGTGACACTACCCCCAATTGATGAGTGGCATTTTCTTTAAATTTCCTTATAGTCGGGAACCTGAAACCTTATCAATGAACTTTATATACTGATATTAAAATCCATTGTCTATTTTGTGCTTTGAATGGACCTTTTGCTCCAGCATGATTTCGTAATATCACATATTGGTCGTTTGGAAAGCTGAATTATATATGTGGCTGGACGAAAATGTTGACTCAATCTCCAGAAGTCACTTTCATTAATATTACCAGCGATGGGCCCTTCCTGGTGGCACAGCGGGTTAAAGCACAGCACTGAGAAAGAAGCTAAAGCCACTTCCGCATGAGTTTGATCCCCGCCTGCCTCGGAGGTGACCACTGGCCCGCCCGCTGCTCCCCTCAGCAGTGGACTTCGTCGATCTGCCTGTTCTGCTCCCCACTCTGTCTCTGGTGAATCCTCTCACCGCCCCTGCACCTCTGGCCTGTACCCCAGTTCTGTATGGATAAATAAATCAATCTTAAAAAAATATATTACCAGCGATGTCATGTGAAATTCTGGTGGCATTAAAAACTGCCAAACTCAACGGTGGATACAAGTATCTCAAATTCTAATTTTCATCTGAAAGTGTAGACACGGTCATTGCTAAAAAATACCATGAGTCGTTTTCCTTGAGGTTCCAGGCTGGCCCTTCATTTCTGGAGAAATACCCACAGTGTGTCTTCCAGACATTCTTTTGAGTAAAAATACTAGTCCGTGAAAAGGCAGCAGCTGTTAGACCCTCTGGCTGGTGAGCTCTCTCAGACACTCAGAAGCAGAGGTATTTCTCAAGCACCTACCTTTGTGTCCCGCCAACATATTTCAAAGTCTTGTATTCAAGGATCAAGATTTAATAATGAAATTTTTACAGTCCCATCAAGGGCTTAAAAGAATCTTTTTTTTTTCCCCTCTAGGTACCCTGATGGGGAAGATGCAAATAACTACTGATAACATTTGGTGCTACTTGATTGAGCCAAGGAGTCAGCACTTATTCCCATTGCTCCTGCATACCTACTCCAGGTCCACCAAATGAAAGGGCCACTATCATCTTAGTATTATGATGAAAATGATTTTGATGTTGCGGACCCCTCAGCAGTCTCTACACCACTGGAAAGGAAGTGCCCCTCTCTCTGCAGGACCCCCCAGCAATACTGATTTAGACCGAAGTGACCATGTAACAGTGAGCATTTATGAAGTATCTTCTAGGAATGCACATTTTTCACGAAAATTTATTTTACTCTTACCTTTGAAAGGTGGTGGAGACGGGGAAGGGGAGACAGCGTTGTAATGATTCAGATCAAATATGGTTTTAGATCTTATACCATAGGGCTGAATCAAATGTTCAATAGAATATTCCAATAAGGCGACCACCGTGAACAATAATCCATTTTTAGTGGCTCCTGCATCTGTGCATCCAAAAGGCACAGATCTCCCAAATTATTTATTCAGTCAATTTTGAAATCCATTGTAGCAACCTCCAGCTATCTATCTTGCTAATATTTTAGGTTAAGACTAACGTTACAATTAGTTTGTGTCCCGAGCACACAAGCATTGGAGGGGGACACTTGTGTCCTGGAAGATACTGTCTAGTGGCAGAAAGACAGCAAGCCGAGACTTCCGCTGAAATTGCTCCGTCCCTATTTCCATTTTCCGTTCTTGTGTACTACTTCAAGTGATTTTTGGAAAGTGGTAGAGGTATGAATAAATTCAATTTTAAAATGCTTTTGGCTGTTGGTAGAACACCTACATAATTAAAAGTTGACAGCATTTGCCTGCATGCCTTTAAAAGGTCGCAGGAAATGTACTCCACTTTGAGGAAAGGCCTAAAGTGTGTTTTCAATTACAGTGCACTAAGCAATGCAGGAAGAGGTGGTGGCGTGTCTCTGCAGGAGGAATGTCCCCCATCCCCTGGCCCAAGGCTCTCTGCGAGCCCACAGAGTGTTAAGAGCCTTGTACTCATGTGGCGTTAGATTTCAAGACTGTACACACACGGGACAGGCAGCCCGTTTGGAGTGGGTGGTCTCTGACTTACCACCAACCGATGCGACTGATGGTTGTCGAAGTTGTGGCAAGTTGAGTTTAGCTGGTGTTGAAGGATGGTTTTATTTCAAGCCATAGGCCATAGCACAGGGAAACAAGTGAACTACCTGTTCACTTAAGCCCACCTTTCAGGAAGAATTTGGTTAAAGATGCTGTTCCATTTTTTTTAAAAAAAGATTTATTTATATATGCATGCAAGAACTGGGGTGCAGGCCAGAAGTGCAGAGGACGAGAGGATTCACCAGAGACAGAGCGGGGAGCAGAAGAGGCAGATGGATTGAAATCTAACGTGGCCCAGGGGAGTAGTGGAGAAGACAGGTCTGCTGCGCCACGTGGGTCAGCTCCCTGGCCGGGGGTCGAACTCATGCTGCAGTGGCTGTGGACAGCCTCACAGTGCTGTGCTTTAACCTCTTGCGCCACCAGGGAGGTCCCAGGTGCCGTTCCATTTTAAACCTGATGTCTCTGTTTGGACAGAGGATGGAAGTGAAGCGGGCGTTGCCGATCCTGCTCTAGATGGTGTCGTCACCAAGAAGCTAGATCCTTGGGGGAGCTGGCAGTGTGAGTTTCATCCTGAGATTTCATTATCAATGAAAAAATCCTTTTGGGAGCAAGAACACTCTTTAAGCTGCTCCAATAAAAGCATGTAAATAAAGACTTATTGTTCCTTTGAAGGGTCAGGTAGGCATTCAATTCCATGACCGTCTGTCTGTCTGTCTGTCTGTCTGTCTGTCTTTCCCACTAGAGACGTGAGAATTGAGTCAGGTTCGAACCTCCAGAGGTGCTGGCTTTAGAGGCAGTTTCCAGAGGGTCCCGTCAGTACACTCTCACCGGTGCCCTTAACACATCCTCACGGAGGATGCTTCTCCGCCTTCTTTGATTTTAAGAAAGGACTTTTTTAAAATTGGTAAGAAAATATTTAACATAATAAGGTGATGAGTCAGAGTTTTAAAAAAGCTAAAAAGGGAACATGTAGTGACACTGGTGCACCTTTTTATTTTTTGGTTACATCTGACTCATGACACAGAATATATTCTGCTATGTTCAAAGTTTCCTCGCACAAAGAGAGTTTTATGAAACAACTCTTCTTCAGACCACTTTTACTTCAATTATAGTTGCAGGTTTTGGAGTTTAAATCATTAACAACCTCTGAGTGAACTTTTATCCAAATGGCTTCAAGTCACAAAGAGAACAGTCCTCTTTCACCAAGTAGCTTTTGTGTTACAGTGAGACTCGTCCTTTTCTATTTTTTCTCCTTTATGTCTCTCTTTGAAGAAAGAAGTGTGATTTGTAAAGTAATGAAAGTATGTATCAGTTCGTGAAAAACGGCTTGGTGGGCTCAAGGAAATTTCCTGAACCTACATTCTAGCAGGGGGAAAAAGTAACTTTCAGAAGTCAAGATTGCTGCGCGCCCCATAGGGGGATCACGCAGCAATTAAATCAACCAACAGGGGTGACCTAATCTTATTTCCCCCCTTTGTCAAGGAGCTGTCATTTCCACGGAGGCAGCACTTTCCAGTTTCAACCCCACTGGACACTTCGACACCGAGCTCTCAGCCCCTCAGCCTAACGACTGATGCCACCATATGTTTCATCTTTTCATTTTTTTCTGAAATTATTTTGATGGGGATGTTTTCTGGAGACCGAGCGGGAGGCTGTCCCCCTCCACCAATTTAAGGTGAGGGGCTGAGCGAGTCATTCTTTGGGGGACAAAAGCCGGAAGAATTTTGTACAGGAGAAAATGCAGCTGAATCAAAAACAAAAGAAAGTTAAGAGAAAAATCTATTTCCTTTCAAAAAAAAAAAATCAGTCAGAATAATGAATTCATCGTTGTTTAAAGAGTGGGAAAAACTTTCCCCCCCTCTAGGTTTGGCGAATAGCGGGATCAATTCGAAGAACTCCCTGCCACCCCCGCACGTGCGCCCCCCCATTCTTTCCAGACCGCGGCTGCAGATCCCCGGTGGAGTCCGCCCTGGAAGCCTAAGGGCACCTTCCTCTTTGCTCTGAGTGAGTGTGTGTGTGTCTGGCTCTCGCGTTTTCCCTCAGTCTGTGCCTCCGTGTGTGTGTGAGTGTGTGTGTGACAGAGAGAGGGAGAGAGAGAGCGCGAGAGGAGAGCGAGCGAGCAAGAGAGAGAGAGCGAGCGAGCGAGCGAGCGAGCGAGAGCGAGCTGTGAGCTGTGCTGCCGCCGCCGCTGCCCTTTGATCCCGACATTAGTGTTAGGGGCTCGGAGACACCGCGCGCGGCCACAGACACCGCCGCACCGCCCATTATTTATACCTGCCATCACGCGCGCGAGCGGACGGCACGCACACTCACACCTATTAGCTCCGTTTCCATTGAAGAATATTACGCTCGGGGACAAGCCAGGTGCACGACCAAAAAATTAAAAAAAAAAAAAAGGAAAAAAGAAAGGAAAGAAAAGAAGAAAACCCCTCTTCTGGCTCCAGGAAACAAGCTTCAACCCATTGCACACACCGGAGAGAAGGGGTTTCCCCCTGCCCGCCCGCCCGCCCCCCAACTACCTCCCCGCTCCTGCCAGTGTCTGCCTCTCTGCCCCCACGGGGGTTTATTTGATCTCACATTAACCAAGGAGGAGAATGTGAGAAAAGGGGGAAAATGCCCAGGAGGAAGCAGGAGCAGCCCAAGCGCCTTCCCTCACGTAAGTCATCCCTTCTCCACCTCCTCTCGTGCCATTTTCTCGCCCTCCCTCTCCTCTTTCCCCTCCGCAGCCTCCTCCGTTGTTTTCTGCATTAGTTTAGGGTTACAGAGGTGAAACTGACAAAGACACAGCCCGGGTTACTCCTCGTTTAGGTCTCTGCCGAGGCAGCCATGTTGGTGATGATCAGCCCCGTGCCCTTTCTATTCTCTCTCTCTTTTTCTTTCTTTCCCTCACCCCCCCTCTTTTTTTCCTTGAGATCGGGCTTTTTTTCCCTTTCCCTCCCCCTCCCCCTCCTCACTCCGGGTGGCTGGGGGGAGGGGGCCGGAGAAGGGAGGAGGGGAGTAG